AGTCTATTGACTTTATTTATACTTCTTCACCCGAAGAGTGATTAACACATGGAATTCACTGCCGCAGGAGGTGGTGGCAGGTACAAGCATGGACGGCTTCAAGAGGGAATTAGATAAGCATATGGAGCAGAGGTCCATCAGTGGCTATTAGCCACAAAGTATAGATAGGAGCTCTCGGTCTGGGGCAAGGGATGCTCTGTCTTCTTGGTGCTTGGGGGGGGGCAACAGTGGGAGGGCTTCTAGTGTCCTGTCCCCACTGCTGGACCTCCTGATGGCACCTGGGGTTTTTGGCCACTGTGTGACCCAGAGTGTTGGACTAGATGGGCCCTTGGCCAGATCCAACATTGGCTTCTCTTTTATGTTCTTATAAGAGAGAATTAGATAAGCATATGGAGCAGAGGTCCATCAGTGGCTATTAGCCACAAAGTATAGATAGGAGCTCTCGGTCTGGGGCAAGGGATGCTCTGTCTTCTTGGTGCTTGGGGGGGGGCAACAGTGGGAGGGCTTCTAGTGTCCTGTCCCCACTGCTGGACCTCCTGATGGCACCTGGGGTTTTTGGCCACTGTGTGACCCAGAGTGTTGGACTAGATGGGCCCTTGGCCAGATCCAACATTGGCTTCTCTTTTATGTTCTTATAAGAGAGAATTAGATAAGCATATGGAGCAGAGGTCCATCAGTGGCTATTAGCCACAAAGTATAGATAGGAGCTCTCGGTCTGGGGCAAGGGATGCTCTGTCTTCTTGGTGCTTGGGGGGGGGCAACAGTGGGAGGGCTTCTAGTGTCCTGTCCCCACTGCTGGACCTCCTGATGGCACCTGGGGTTTTTGGCCACTGTGTGACCCAGAGTGTTGGACTAGATGGGCCCTTGGCCAGATCCAACATTGGCTTCTCTGAATGTTCTTATGTTCTTAAGTACAAAAAGCAGCTGGTTAAGAAATGACTTTATCCGCCATCACTTAATGGCATGAAATTAAGTGTTTATATATACACACAAAAGAGTCATTTCCTTTTATGCTGTACAACAAACATGCTGATGTAAAAATGATAAGTTCTGGGTTGAATCCAGCCAGTCTTTACACTCAAGTCTTGGCCAATTCCCCTCTTTATCCCAGCCCCCATTCCACATTACTTTTATGTCCCATGATCCCAAACATTATCTTTTTAGTGACCAAAGGGAATCCCTCCCCCCTCCCTTTCACCAGTGGAAAAAGTGGCGGGGTCTAACCCTTCATGCACCCACTGAGAATTGCTGAGAGATGCTACCAAAAAAAAACCCCTATCACCATAGCTGAGAATAGTAGGTACCACAACACCTGTGATTTGTTGAGCTCCTGAATTTTCACCTGATCCCACGGTAAGGTTAAATCCAGTGGTGGTGGAGAGTGCCTTCAAGCTGCAACCAATGTATGGTGACCCCAGAGGGTCTTCAAGGCAAGGGACGTTCAGAGGTGGTTTGCCCTTGCCTGCCTCTGCACAGCACCCCTGGACTTCCTTGGCAGGGTCTCAACCAAGTACTAACTGAGGCCAACCTTGCTTAGCTTCCAAGACCTGACGAGATCGGGCTAGCCTGGGCGATCTAGGCCAGGGCAGAGACATACCAAGGTGGTTTGCCCTTGCCTGCCTCTGCGTAGCAACCCCGGGCTTCAGATCTTGGTAATAAATGCCATCTATCAAGGTGCAGCTCACTTATGGCAACCACACAGGGCTTGCAAGGCAAGAGAAAGAGTTGGTTTGCCCTTGCCTGCCTCTGCCTAGCAGACCTGGTCTGCCTTGGTGGTGGTCTCATCCTCTCATCCAAGGACTAACTGAGGCCAAACCAGCTTAGCTTCCAAGATCTGATGACATCAGGCTAGCCTGGCCCATCCAGGTCAGGGAGGAAAAAAATCCATTACTCAAGCACAAAAGAAAGACCCCTTGATACCTGCTCAGGGGGGTCTCCCACCTCGACCCCCCCACCACCACCATCATTTATTTATAAACCGCCCTCCCCCTAAGGGCTCAGGGCAGTGTACATGAGAGCCAGTTTGGTGTCGTGGTTAAGTGCGCGGACTCTAATCTGGGAGAACCGGGTTTGATTCCCCACTCCTCCACTTGCACCTGCTGATGTGACCTTGGGTCAGTCACAAGCTCTGGCACAGCTGTCCTTGAAAAAGAGCCGTTTCTGTCAGAGCTCTCTCAGCCCCACCTGCCTCACAGGGTGTCTGTTGTGGGGAGGGGAAGGAGTTTGTAAGCCGCTCTGAGACTCCAAGTCAAGGGCGGGGTATAAATCAAATCTCTTCTTCTTCTTCTACATCACTATCAAACATCCAGCAAATTTAAAAATACAAATATAATTAGTTACAGCTAAAAATCAATAGACTACAGTGTGTTTTGCTTACTGTCTGGGAACAGCGAGATACTCTATCTGCAAGAAGTGTAGCCTTCTTAATATAAAGACCTGGGTCACGAAATACAATTCCTTTTGGGTCACCTTCTTCAGGATAACTAGTTTGAGAGTAGATATATAAAGGCTGAAGTCACACGGAGCATTAGCCACGCTACAGAGACGGAAGATAGGTGGATTTTCCGGGCGCGATCACAGCGCCACATCTGGGAAGCGTAGAGCTCCCGTGGCGAAACCAAGCCTTCCTGCCGAAGATGCGGGGTAAAAAAACTAGTACCTCCGAGGTACTAGTTTCCAGAAACCGCGGGGCAAGGGCAGGCGCATGATCGCGTTTCCGGTGGTAGGTCGTAGTATCCGGCGCCCACCCATGTCCCGTCGCTAAAAGGTTTTTTCCCCTCCAAGTCTCCACAGGATGCGCACAAGCACCCAACGGCGCATGCACACACCGTTTAAAAACAAACAACACAGCCCCTTCCTCTTTTCCATAAACCCCCCGAGGGCAGCCTGGCTGAAGCTCCTTCTGGAGGGGACCGGACGGAGGACACAGTTTGCATTCCTCTGCAGCCCTGGAAGGGCTTAAACCCGTGGAGCCTTTTGCTAGGGAGGCCGCTTCTTTGTCGCGCCGCAGGATTGTCCTGTGATCGGCACCTCCCCCCTAACCACGGGACCTCGACGGGACGTCTGATCACGCAGCCGCACATTATTTTGCTCCAGGGCAAACAGCCACGCTTCCCCCCCACATTTTCCTGCCCGTGTGACCTGGGCCATATTTATTTTAACTGTCCCCTACAGTGGCTTTCTGGTTCACAAGTCTGTCTTGATCCACTTTCATAGAATTTCCCCTAGTTATTCTGTCCAGTTGAGCACATGATGCTTGGTTCTTTCCACTCACGGCCAGGTCTTAGACCCCCACCCCTTACCAGAGGTGGAACCTCTAACAGCAATCACCTATAATCCTAGTCTGTCTCACAGCACTAGCTCTGGCTTATGTGACACCCCCCCCCCCCCCCCTTACCACTAGTTAACCTTCAGCACCTTCCCAAGCCACACCACCTCCATGCCCCTGTTTCAACAGAATGACACCTTCTTCCAAGGCCTGCCAATTCCCACCATAACTCCAGCTTCCATGCAACCAAACGTGACTCCTTCACTCACATGTCTGAATGCGTGTTTGGGATAGGGGTGTCTGTCCAAGGTGTCTAAGAACCTTCAGCCTGCACCCCTAATAAAGCCCCCACATCCCACAACAGGATGCCCCACCACATAGGGTTACCAACTTGAGAACAGGAGATTCCTGGAGATCTGGGGATGGACAGTAGGGCTGCCAACTCCAGGTTGGGGAAACTCCTGGAGATTTGGGGGTGGGGCGTGGAGATGGGGAGGGAGCACAGCACAGATTGAATGGCACACAGCCCACCCTCTGAAGCTACCATTTCCCCAAGGAGAACTGATCTCTGCGATCTGGAGAACAGCTGTAATTTCAGAAGAGAGCCAGGCCCCTTTGGTGGAGACTGGGGAGGGCAGATTTGGGGAAAGGAGGAACCTCGTTAGGGTACAGTGCCATAGACTCCACCAGCGTTCCCTCTAAACTGAGAGAGTGTGAACGAGCTCACCGTTTTTTAGCCTCCGGCTCACACATTTTTGTTTTAGCTCAGGAAGGAGGGCTCCAGAGCAAGCTAATTTATGCAGCAGCCAAATTGCTCGCTCACCACTTTAATGCCAGCAGCTCACAAAGGAAAAATTTTGCTCACCAGGCTCCTCAGCTTAGAGGGAGCGTGGGAGTCCACCTCCCGAAGCTCCCGTTTTCTCCAGCGGAACTGGGGCTGAGTCATAATCCCAGAGGAGAGGACTCGCAGGAATGGTTTTAAATTAAGGGCGAGAAGGTGCCGGCTGGATCTCAGGGAAAAGCTTTTTGACAGTCAGAATTGTGCCGCAGTGGAATCGGCTGCCTGGGGAGCTGGTGAGCTCCCATTCCCTGGCCGTCTTGAAGCAGCGGCTGGACAAACACTTGTCAGGGATGCTCTAGGCTGAACCTGCCTTGAACAGGGGGTTGGACTAGATGCCCTCTAGGGCACCCTTCCAATGCTTGCGATTCTCTGATTCTGTCTCCAGGCCCCACCTGGAGGTTGCCATCCCTGCCACCTACGGCCATGGCATTGGGACACACACACACGCACACACGCACACACGCCCCAGCGAGCAGCCTTCCAAAAAGGTTCCTAACAGCCCTCCCTTAAAGAACTACGGTCTCCCTTTAAAAAAATAACCCACCTCTCCCCCCAAACTCCCAATCTGATCCCCCCCCCAAAAAAAATCCATCAGAGGCTCATGGGGGGTGGGCATCAAGTAGCCTCTGCGGGGTCTGAGAAGCCCCAGGAGAGGGGAGGCGAGGCTGGTCTTGCTGGGCCGGGGTGGGGGGACCTCCTTCAAGGCTTTCGGTCTCGGGGGGGGGGGAAGGGGCGTTTCCTCTCCCCGAAGGGCTCCAGCTCCCCAGCCCCCCTTCTCCCCCCACCCGCGCCTGGCCCCCAGCCTCCCTTCTCCCCCAGCCAGGCCCTGGGCCCGGCCCAGCATCCAATCCCCACCCCGTCCCCCGCGATCCCCGCCGGGCTTCAGCCTACCTCGGGCTGCGCCGTCGCCGGCCTCTCGGACGCCCTCGCACAGCGCCAACGAGTCTAGACTGAACAGGAAGTGCTCCCACCCGGAACCTCACGGGACGGACCCGCCGATGCGGTCCGGCTCCTTTACGCGTCCCCCTGGGGAAACCGCCGCCCGACACTAAAGTTCCGGAGGGGAAACGTGAATTCTCCTCCCATCCATCCCGCTGTGGGTTTCCCCGAATGGATTTCCTGGCGCCGCCTGCCGCTTTCTCTCACACGTCATTATTGTTGTTATTGTTGTTGTTTCTTTTAATTTTTTTAAACGGTTTGAACAGTTTGAACAATGAATGCAAATGCAAAAATGTCACCAATAGTAACAACAGTAAAAGAGTAGGCAAAAATACAAAGAATATATATCAGTAAGGTACTGTGCACTACAATAGATCTATAGTACTATATTGGTATTGTACCCTAATAAGGATAGATAGTACAATCGAGTTCACCTGTGGCCATTTTCCCCAAGTGAACTGATCTCTGTCACCTTCAGTGTTCCCTCTAAACTGAGTGAGTGTGAGCCAGCTCACAGTTTTTTAGCCTCTGGTGGCTCACAAATTTTCGTCATAGCTCAGGAAGGAGGGCTCCAGAGCAAACTGATTTATGCAGTAGCCAAATGACCTGCTCACAACTTTAAGGCCAGTAGCTCACAAAATAGAATTTTTGCTCACAGGGCTTAGAGGGAGCATTATAATCCCAAGAGATCCCCAGCTACCACCTGGAAGATGGCAACCCTAATTCTGTAATAAGACTTCCCCAAGGGCTTCCCACTGGCTTGCTCCCTCTTGTAGGGTTGCCAGTTCTTGGTTGGGCAATTCCTGGAGGTTTGGGGGTTGGAGCTTGGGGAGGAAAGGATTTGGGGAGGGGACGGGGGATGCCAGGAGGGTATAATGCCATCCCTCCAAAGCTGCCATTTTTCCTAGGGAAACTGATCCTCGTTGGGTGGAGCTTGAGTTGTAATTCCTGGAGAACTCTAGGCCCCACCTGCAAATTTGCAACGCCACCCCCATATTCAAAATCAAGAAGGGTAGTTGTGTATTTGATGCAAAATATTGCAGACTTTCGAGTTAGGGTTGCCAATCTATAATGCCACAGAGTCCACCCTCCAAAGGAGCTGTTTTCTGTAGGAGAACTGATCTCTGTGGTCTGGGGATCAGGCGTAATTCCGGGAGATCTCTAGTCCCTGCCTGGAGGGTGGCAACTGGGAAGCCTCAGTCTGCCATGTCAGTCATAACGTCCAGTTTTCAACCTTAGAGAAGGGGCACTTGCCACAGAACAGACCCCAGCAACACTACTCGAACCATTAACACAAAACACAAACATTGCTTTTGGGTAGATTCAGGTGGGTAGCTGTTTTGTTCTGAAGCAGTAGAACAAAGCTTGAGTCCGGTGGCACCTTTAAGACCAACAAAGTTTAATTCTGGGTATGAATTTCTGTGTGCGTGCACACTTCTTCGGATGCTTTTGGGGTTGCTTGTTCAGATTGCTTTGAAGTTTCACAGTCTGTCTCATGCTTAGACCAGCTGTGAAAGGATAGCTATGTGATCTGTTTGCCGTAATGCAGACTAAATTCCTAATCCTACGCTAAACTTTAAAAAATAATCATCTGCTGCTTATTGCCATGTCTGAAGGCTAGGGATGCCAGCCTCCAGGTGGGATCTGGGGATCCCCCAGAATTACAGCTCATTTCCAAACTACAACAATCAGTTCCCCTGGATGAAACAAATGCTTTGAAGGGTGGACTTTATGGCACTGTACACCTCTGTGGCCCCTGTCCTCCCCAAATCTTCAGGGGTTTCCCAACCTGGATCTGGCAACTCCACCCCCTATCCCTTGCCTGTGACCAGAGGCAACAGAGAGCCAGTTTGGTGTAGTGGTTAAGAGTGGTGGACTCTAATCTGGGAGAACTGGGTTTGATTCCCCACTCCTCCAATTGCACCTGGCTGGATGGCCTTGGGCAAGCCGTAGCTCTGATAAGAGCTGTCCTTGAAAAAGAGCAGTTTCTGTCAAGAGTTCTCTCAGCCCCACCTGCCTCACAGGGTGTTTGTCTGTTGTGGGGAGGGGAAGGGAAAGGAGTTTGTAAGCCGCTCTGAGACACCTTTGGGTAGTGAAGGGCGGGCTATAAATCCAATCTCCTCCTCCTCCTCCTCTACTGAAGGCTAAGTTGTGTGTCTTCTAACTCTGAGCTAAGCCATTCCACCCAGGACTGCTTGCAGGATATTAGATCTGAGCTGCTCGGATGATGATGAAGAAGAGTTGGTTTTATACCCCACTTTTCAGTACACTTTTCACTTGAGCTGCGGTGGCTCAAGTGGTTAAGACGCTTATAGGGGTGCCAATATCAGGGAGGGCTGTGGAAGGTCGGTAGTTCAGCAGTTCGAGACCCAGGTGCCGCATGATGGAGTGAGCTCCCGACTCTAGTTCCAGCTCCTGCCAATCTAGCAGTTCGAAAGCAAGAAATTGCAAGTAGATAAATAGGTACCACTTCGGTGGGAAGGTAACAGCGTTCCGTGCGCCTTGGTGTTTAGTCATGCTGGCCACATGACCACAGAAATGTCTTCGGACAGCGCTGGCTCTTCGGCTTGGAAACGGAGATGAGCACCGCAACCCTAGAGTCGGATTCGACTGGCTTTCGAGCAAGGGAACCTTTACCTTTTCACTACCCAAAGGAGTCTCAGAGCACCTTACAATCACCTTCCCTTCCTCTGCCCACAACAGGTACCCTGTGAGGTAGGTGGTGCTGAGAGAGCTCTGAAAGAACTGTGACTGACCCAGGGACACCCAGCCGGCTTCATGTGGAGGAGTGGGGAATCAGACCCGGTTCCCCAGATGACAGCCCACCCGCTCTTAACCACGACACTAGACTGGCACTTTTCAAATGAGCAAAATGGCTGTGTCCTTGTGAAGAGGTCTGTTTCAACCTTGCTGCCTTATTGATTGGGCTAAAGGTTCACAAGAGCAGGGCTGAGTTGCAAAATGCGAACGGAACTAATCTCTACTGTGAAACTAGACTTTGAACTAGCAGGCGCCACTCCTCTGCCAATGACTCAGTTTAGGAAAGTCAGTGCCAAAGAAATTAACCTCAAAAAGGAAAGCCATAGGGGTGCCAATATCGGGGAGGGCGGCAGTTCCCCTAGGAAAAAAAATCAGATTCAAGTCCAGTAACACCTTAGAGACCAACACAATTTTTTGGGGTGTAAACATTCAAAAGCCAAACTCCCTTCCTCAGATATGAGCTGGAATGGCGATCTCTGCGTCTTTATATCCCAGTCAGAAGGTGGAGGGGTGTTGCGAAGAAGGAACTCGGGATGCAGAGGTAAAATGCAGAATGTCATCAGCTTTGGTGTAGTGGTTAGGAGCACAGACTCTAATCTGGGAGAACCGGGTTTGATTCCCCACTCTTCCACAGGCAGCTGCTGGTGTAACACAAGCCACAAGTTCTTTCAGAGCTGTTCTCTCAAGGGCACTTCTCAAAAGAGCTCTCTCCACCCCGCCTACTTCACAGGGTGTCTGTTGTGGGGAGGGAAAGGGAAAGGAGATTGTAAGATGTTCTGAGACTCCTTCGGGTAGTGAAGGGCGGGGTGGAAATCCAATCTCCTCTTCTTCTTCTGATTAAAGCAGAGGAGAAATGCTTGGAGGCAGAAAATTAGCATCTGTAGTGAGATAAGAATCCTATGTCCCTTAATAAACACTGGGGACGGGGGTGTCCGTTGTTCTGAACTTGTGAATGAACTCAAGTTCAGCAACCTCACATTGTAATCTCCCCTTGAAGCTTTTTTGTTTCAGGACTGCCACTTGTAGGCCAGCATTGGAATGACCTGGAAGAATGACCTAGAGAAAATGGTTCCTTTGGAGGGTGGGCTCTGTGGCACCAATTCCCTGCTCCCTCCACTTACTAAACTCCACCCTTCCCGGGCTCTGCCCACAAATCTCCAGGAATTCCTCAAGCTGGAGATGGCAACCCTAAACTCTCAAATCCTCAAAGGAGATCAGCCTTAAAATGAAGAGCGCTAGTACTGAACTGTGAACCTCTTGTCGGATCCAGTTCTGGAAGTATCCCCAGAAGATTTGGCAACAGCACTTTTGTCTAGGTAACATTACCGGGCCTCAATGTATGTCTGGTATTAGGGTTGCCAGCTCCAGCCTGGAAAATCCTGGAGATTTGGGGGGGGGTGGAGCCTGTGGAAGGGAGAGGTTGGAGATGGGATTTTACGTGGAATCGATGATATACCATAGAGTTTGCCCTCTGAACCTTCCATTTATCTAGTCCATTTTTATCCCACGCTGCCTCCATGTAACTCAGGGTTGCTTCCGTCCTTCTCCGCTCCTCCATTTTATCCTCACAGGGCTGTTGTGAGAATAAAAAAAGACAGGAAGAACCACGTACGCAGCTCTGAACTCTTTGGAGGAAAAGCGAGATAAAACTATACTAAATAAAATCATTTTGAGAAGGGTCAGGATTTTCAGACAGCACGATTGAAAACTTATGATGGTGGTTTTCGTAGAATACGTTCTTTTTTAAAAGCACATGCGGCCACAAGGATGCCAGTTAGGATTACCTGTCTCCAGGTAAAGCCTGGAGTTCTCTGGGAAAGGCAGTTATCTCCAGAGATCAATCTCCCTGGAGAAATGGCTGCTTTGGAGGATGGACTCAACAGAGGAGATTGGATTTATACCCCGCCCTTCACTACCCAAAGGAGTCTCAGAGCGGCTGAAAAACTCCTTTCCCTTCCCCTCCCCACAACAGACAGACACCCTGTGAGGTAGGTGAGGCTGAGAGAGCTCTGACAGAAACGGCTCTTTTTCAAGGACAGCTCTTATCAGAACTATGGCTTGCCCGAGGTCATCCAGCAGCTACAAGTGGAGGAGTGGGGAATCAAACCCGGTTCTCCCAGATTAGAATCCGCACACTTAACCACCACACCAAACTGGTGTACCCAAAGGAGTCTCAGAGCAGCTTACAAACTCCTTTCCCTTCCCCTCCCCACAACAGACACCCTGTGAGGTAGGTGGGGCTGAGAGAGCTCTTGACAGAAACGGCTCT